CATCATTAATCTTATCAGCGCTGCCTTTCCACATCATTTCAGGGCAGTAGCATGATTTTTATCTCTAATTTGATGGTAATGAACCCATCAGCATGGAGTGGTTGATGAATATGATGAAAAATGGCATTCATATTCACTTTGGACAAGCCACATCTTCTTATCTCATTAGAAAAACTGATACTAGAATATCTCTTTATTTATGAAAATGTGCATTAATCGTGGAAGGTCTCTTGGTCAAGACACTTTTAAAATCTAACAAACAATATAAACTATCAGAAAAATGTGTAGTTATTAAGGCATATGTACTGGGAATTCGCTCTGATGAAAATTCTGCACAATGGCAATTATAGTGCATGATGGGTAGTATATAATTCGTAATGATTTTGATAAATTTAGCTCAAGGGGGTGGCTACAGGTGGGCAATGCCCATCCAAGAAAAACTAAAACTACTAAAAGAAATACAAGACTAGCTATTCAAATACACCTCCTGTATGCCTGTACCTGTAGTGTGCAGATTTTGAACCATGCCACTAAAACCATGTCACCGTCTACAAACACACTGGACAAATATTTCCAAGATTGAACACTGAACAACGATGCCCCATCCTAGTCAATTTTGGGAGGTTACCTCAAACTTTACTTTGGCAGGACTGCTAGGTGTTTCGGTGTGGTACCAGCTTAGACTGTGGTTCAGTGTGATGCAGTTTTCTGTCTTGGTAGGAGGACATATTCACAAACCGGGCATCTGTAAATGGTAAACAGCTATTATTAGAGACAATTATTAGTGCATTTATAAAAGACAGTAATTACTGCATTCCAAATTTACACATCAAGTGTTATAGATTCAGATTACAGTGTTCCAGATTGTGTGAGTAAACATCAAAATCCTTTTAAGGCAAGATAATTCACTCAAGAAAACTGGACCTTTTTTCTCGAGCCTGGGCTTGAATGGGACTCGGACTGGATCTTGAAGAGGGACCCTGGAAAAATGAACAATTTCATTTGGAAACCATGATAAAAGTTTTCTACAATTTAAAAAAATTACTGAGTGCAGTGGCAACATTCATCAGTCATATTCTAGTGTTGTTTTAGTTAAAATAAAATAAATTATAACTATTAGATGAAAAAAAAAAATTAAAATAGAAATGTTGCCAAAGCTGAAGTACTAAAACTGTAATAAAAATAAATTAAACCTACTGTAATAAATATTATTAATAAACACTTGTATATAAAAATACTAAAACAGCACTGTCATTCATAACGCACCTGGACAGCTTTTAGTCATGCAACCTCCTGGAAGACCAAAACCTCCTGTAACAGTATGTATATATATATATATATATTTTTTTTTTTTTTTTTTTTTCCATCTAAACATA